GTCTCTTTCTCCTAGCGTCTGGGCATTTTTCAAAGGGCTGCTTCTGCGCTGGGCCCTGGGGAGGGTAAGTCTGGGCACAAGCCCTTTAAGAGCTGCTCCTGAGCCCTGGCCAGTGGCTCGGTTATTTGGATATCCTCCTGTACTCCAAAAGGCTGTGGGTTTAATTCCTGGTCAGGGCACATACCCAAGTTGTAGCTTCAGGCATGTACAGGAGGCAACCCACCGATGTTTCTTTCTCTCTCTCTCTCTCTCTCTCTCTCTCTCTCTCTCTCTCTCTCCCTCCCTCCCTCCCTCCCTCCCTCCCTCCCTCCCTCCCTCCCTCCGTGAGGATTAAAACAAAAGAGCTGTTCCTCATTTTGCCTTAGCCCATGGGTCTCCTGGGCATGAGCCCAGTTGGTCTTCAGAGCCAGATTTTGGGGGGCTTATCTTTCTGGTGCTGGTCTTAGAAGTTGGGGTGTGAACCTTTTGCTCCTCAGGAAGAAGCTCCAGGTTTTGAGTTTCCTCCCAACTTTGAATCATTGCACTGGGTGGTTAATGGCCTTTCCTACCTGCTTCTGTGTGGTTTCCATTTTGTTTGGTCAATGTGAAGGAGTTGCTCTGCCAGTTTTTAGGGTTTTGCTTTCAGAGGAAATAGTTCCCTCTGTAGCTGTAGCTTCTGTTGTGTGCACTGGTGGAGGTGAGTTCATCATTTCCCCCCAGAAAGTAAGTGCACTTAGAGTGATGTAGGTTTTATATCTCATTAGCTGTGGCCTTGGGCAAAGTACTAAGCTTATTGGCCTATATTTTGCTTATCCACAAAATGAGAATAATAATAACTTCTTTGTAATTCTTGCAAGGAGTCAAGGACAAGGTTTCTAAGTCACTTAGCCCCAAACTTGACAAATAGAGCTCCTGGATAAGTCATTATAATTGCTTAAGACTATCAATCACTTTCAAGTATTTTTAAGTAACATGTGCAAATTGTATCCATTGATAGGATATGCAGGATTCCTGAAGATCTTTACTGGCATTATTCTATTAGCCCAATTTGATGTAAAAATGTACTTGAAAAGGTGTAATTGCATGGAGAAGATACACTAGGCTAAATGCTTTTCTTGGATTTTCTCCTTGAAAGGTCACTATAATCATTTACGACATGGTCAGTGTTTTATAGAGGAATGCAGCTGAGGCCCAGAGAGGGAAACAGTGCTCCCAAGGTGACAGGGTAAGGAGCAGAGCTGGGATTTGAACCTAGGTTTCTCTAACTCCAAAGTCCATGCTCTCAACCTCTCTTTTCTTAATTAAACTTCTGACTAAAGTTGTTAGGCATTACTCTTAAGCAAATCCAATTTAATAAGGCTTTAGTGAGAATTATCTTTGACATTTTGGAGGGAATTCTTTTCTTCTGTGTGTGTCTCCTTTTTAGAATCTAAATGTTTCATCATTAAATCACACATATTAATAAAAATGAGAAGGAATTGAACAATTTAATGAGAAAACTTTAAAAAGATTATTTGTATGTGTTGCCTCCAGTCAGGGAATGGGACCCCCTCCCCCCCACCCCCTCATCCCCCGAAGAAGGGGGAAGAGGGAGGAGAGGGGGAGTGATTAACTGATTAACCTGAGAATTTATATGCATAAATGTATAGCCCAGGGACAGAGACAATAGAATGGTGAAAACCTGGGAGGGGCAGGTTCAGGGTGGAGGGGGTCAATGGGAAAAAAACAACAAACAAAGGGGACATCTGTAATACCTTCAACAATACAGATACATTTTAAAAAAATAAAAAGAACAAAGTTGAAGTGGAAAAAAAGGAGATTTGGATTCAATAGATCTCTATGTTATTCATCACAAAATAAACATATTGTTAAAACACAAGGAGAGGGGTTGCACGCAGTCGATGCACAACTTTTCAATGATGGGATCTGATGAGTCTGTTTCCTTCCTTGCCAGTCAGGCCTCTGTGCTGAAACCCCCACTCCTTTGATATGGGTGTCATTCTCAGACCTTTGATCCAGTCTTGGCTCTTAAGCACATTCATCCTTAGTCTTAGCGTTGTGCTGAGAGCCTTCATTGTGGTGCTTTCAGTATTAATTTTGCTTTAGCTAAGTTTTCTGATTTGAGAGGCTTGCCTTTGCTTGATCTTCAGAAAACCTGCCTTTTCCCTCCCCAACATGACGTTTTATTAATAGCTGTGCAATCTTGATTGCTTTTGCCCTTTTGATGCAGTTCTTTGATCATCCGAGTCTAAAACTCAAAATTGTCTCGTAACATTCATGAACCAGGCAATGCACTCTTCCTGGTATTTCTTCTAAATTCCACCCCTCCTTCCTTCCAATTATACTTGGAACAGCGACATGTAGGTTGAGCCTTTCTTAATCATATTATTTCCTTTTTATGCTGCCCTGAATATGAGGAAACAACTGAGACCCTTTCCTGACCCATCCAACCCCCACCCAGGGTTCCCGCTAGAGCGCTATACAGTAAAGGCAGCGACACCTGAGTTCTCATCTTGCTTTATCTTTTACGTCCAGAGATTGACCTGCCAACATACATCCCATCTCAGGACTTGCAGGGGCTGGACTATCCAGAAACCTTAATTGGAACCTGCTACTTGCTCCTCCTCATCAGGGAAGGGGGAGGAGAGTTTCCAGAATAGTGGATTTTATGGTGTAGTAACCTCACTTCCCTCTACCCCCTGGGGGAAGGCAGATGTCCAGCTGGGTCCTACCAACAGAAATGAGAAGACCCTAAGAAAAAGCCTGTGACATTTGGCAGTGACTCGGCAACCTGGGGCAAGGCCCCATCTTTCACACTCAATACTCTGCAGGTCTAAAGGACATCTCTTGGAAAGTGAGGATAGGTAGAGGTATGCCAAGATTCTCCCTGTGGATGATGCCAAGGTCATCCTGGGGTAGACAGCCTACACCATTGGTGGGGATTTCAGGGCGGGGAGGGGATCCAATGGCCCTTCCCACAAGCTATAAAATAACCCCACAGAGTTGTTTTAAAATAACTGTCTGGTAGCTTCAACTATCTGGTAGCTCGAATGTTCACCATCAATGAGAAGACTGGGGAAGCCTTGGTGTTTAGCAAATGAGTGGTGAGTGAGATGACATAAAGGGGGAGAAGAGGAAGGAAGGCAGATGGGGAGATTAGAAAAGGGAGAGGGAGAGAGGGGAGCAGGCTGCACAGCTGTAGGAAAGGTCGGATGTGTGTGGAGGAGAGATGTTTAACCTGTCATGACAGTTAAGAATTTAATAACCAGATTAGACAAGAGTCACTGAACTGGACTAAACTCTCCAATGGGACTTGAATTCCATTATTGGCCAAGATTAAGTTTTCTCTCCCTCATCCCCCTCCAGTGAGTGGAAATGGGGCCCAGAGTTATTAGAAGAGATAAAGCCATTCAGTTTGCACCTCACTGAGCTGAGACTCCTCCATCAAACCAGCTACACATAAAATCTCAGACTTTCTGAGTTGGCTAGACTCTCAGACACAGAGATTTATTTTTTCCTTGCCTGTTCCTCCTCCTGGCACCTGGCCCTCTGCCTCTACATATTAGAGATGATGAAAGCTAAGAAACAACAGGGAGGTTTCCTAACTTCATTTCAGCGTTCAAATGAAACACCCCAATTTCTGACCCAGCCAACTCTCCTTTCCAGCTTTTTCATTTAAGAGGATGTTATTATAAGAGAAAAGCTCTTAAGGATAAAGCAGCCGATGGCTGGAAACTAACATTTGTGTAGTGGGGCTGACATACTGCTTACAGAGAACGACTTGGTAGCCTGATTCATTACTCATTTAGTAAGTGTAACACAGGGCTTCCTGGGGGGACCCCACGGGTTCCGAAACCATGTTTGAACTTCACCTGGAGAGGTAGCCCGTTGTGCTTGCTCAGAGGCAAGCCTTTTACTGTAACCAAGGTTAACACAGATTTATAGTGGTGTGTGTTAATATTTGCCTTCATCCAGCAGGACATTATATATCTGCATGGTTTCTGTCTTCATTCCTAAACTCAGCAATGGCTTATTGTACATGGCAAGGCCCCCTTCTTCAGGTGGCTTCTTCTGTAAAGATTCCTCCGGGCTTTTTGCAAATGATCCGTGATCCTGGCCAAGCACCGGTATATTTCATTTCTCAGAAGCATGCTTCTTGGAGCATTAAGCTGAGTGTGTGTATGTGTGTGTGTGTATTATACACACCCTCAGTGGCTATTCTTATATGCGCCCCTGAAGCAAAATCAGAATGGGAAGGCTCACAGAGAGCTGGCGTGAATAGTTTAAAATTGCTTCTGAGGGGATTATGACAGCCCCTTCTCTACTTAAAAGTGGTTTTAAAAGGTTGTCATTTTGTTCCTTAATATGCCTGTCTCACTTTGTATCTTATTAGTTCCAGTTTTGTTGATATTGAGGTGTTTTTTGCACAGTTAATGCAATAGTCACACACAGTGGGGAAAGGGGACTAATATTTGGCCTTAGTAAGAGAGAATAAAAAATAAAAGGATAGAAAATGAGAAAGACAAGATATGTTTTTCCAAAATATTTAGATGAGAGCTGGAATGGACATAGGAAGAAGGAAGAGAGTTAAAAGGGTGTGTGTGTGTGTGTGTGTGTGTGTGTGTGTGTGAGATCAAGAAACACCCTGAGGTGAAAATAACCACATTGTTCCAAGATGGAATTAACCATCTTGATCACTAAAATAAAAGAAGTGGAAAACGCTAGTGGAAGTTGCAGAACAGTACTCTCTCTGCCTGAAGGAGGAAAACCAAGAAATGAAGTGATGACAATCAAATAATTCCCTACACCATCCAGCAGATGGTGCTGTGTGCCCAAAACAGCTTTGTGTGACCGAAACAGCTTTGTTGCTGTTTAGACCAGAGAGGAAATAATGTGTAACACATAAATGTGAAATAAATAAATGTGTAATTCTTACACCACAAAACTCCATAGTAGTTCAGAAACTAATAAAACAAGAACTTTAACACTGTTGCTTTAATGTAAACTTTGAAATAACTTACATTTTCACTTTTGATTCCAAGGGCTGTAGATTGAGGTGATAGTTTTCAATATTATTCTCCATATCCATGGCCAACTGGTGACTGCAAATAGAAATAATATCTCAATATAGCTAAATCCAGAAAAGTAACATTTATAGCAGTAATACTGCCAATTTATTTTAAAAAGCAGACATATTCTTTTTTTTTCATTTTAATTTATTAACAGAGTCCTAAAAGTTCCTATTGATGGATGATGGATAAATAACCATACCATAGAAATAAAATGTTGATTTTCCTGTTACCTTTTCTGTTCTTTTTATTTCAACTACTCAGTTCAACATTCATATCTAAGGCATGAAAATCATTTCCCTTAAGAGAAGAAAAAAGCAGAATACTGAACCATTGCGGGGGGGGGGGGGGTAAAAAGAACGTTATAAATCCCATGGCAATGTCCAACTAGTAAGTTGTAGTGAGGATCTCATTCATCTCCAATGGTGCCACTGCCATCGAATCTTCCCCCCTTTTTATCTTGTAAGCTTTTCCAAAGCTCCCATTGTGTACAACAAATGAGAAAGGCAGAGGTAGACAGTAACTGCTCCCAACGAGCTTATAAGATAATCACTGGGTGCTACAATGGTCAAGGAAGGCTTCATGGAAAAGGTGGCACTTGAGCTGGGTTTTGAAGAATGGACAGGAATTAGGTAAATTGCTATGTGAACAGTAATACATATGAGGAAGACATTAAAATAAAGACATAGAGGTGAAACATTCAGGCTATTGTTAGACCATAAAAATATCTATTTGATGGAAGTGGAGGATAAAAGTAGGAATGTAAAAGGAATAAGTTTGGATAAGCAGGAAACAAATAGTCATTGGCCACATCCTGTGTACAGCTGTCATAGACATTTTATATGTACTATTTAATTCTCGCAGTAGCCTCTACCAGTTATTATTTTCCCCAATGTACAGCTAAGAAATCTGAGGTTCAGAGAGTTTAAGTTAAACTTAGAAGAAACCACATTAAAACTCAAGTCTCACTACCACAAAGTACTGCTTGGAGGATTTTAATATCAGACTTATTAAACATAATTCTACTAACTGTGGTTTTCATAAGTAAAGTATCTGACAGCCCAACCCAATACACATGCATGTGGTAAAGATGTGTGTGTGTTTAAAACTGAAACAAACGTTTAATGAAGCATTATTTCCCCAACTACATATGTTGTTCTCTGGTATTTTTTTTTTACTATATTTCATTTTTTTAAGGTCAGTGGTTATCCATCAAATTGATTTAATAAACCATCAATGAATTGTGATCTTCAGTGTGAAATCATTGCTGCAGGAAAACATACAGCATTTTAACCAGGACAACATGCTGGATGGATATTTAAGGATGTTTTGCAGTGGCAGTGAGCAAGGAGAATAAAAATATATATATATTTAGAAAGGTATTCAAATTGGCCGGATAATGAGGACCACAATTATGGTGATAGTAAAGAAAAGAAAAATATGAGGGAAAAAAAAACATTGTGCTGGAGGCATTATTAGGATAATGCACTTATCTCCCCCTCCTTGGAAAGGAATAAGCAAGTGATGGGGAAAACACGGTAGAGCAGATAAATTCACACATGGCCACTAGGTGGTGCCATCAGCCCAAGATAGCTTTGTAATTACCCAGCTGGGAAGTTGAGGGGCAAGGAAAAAAGCACCCGTTTGCTCTGTGTGGTCGGTATTCAGGGTCCATTATATATTCCATCCTTACTCTCTCATTTAGATATGTTGGCTATATTCTGTGCCGGGAATGATGTAAAGCATGAGGGACACAATGGTGAAAGCACTAGACATGGTCCCTGTTCTTAGGGTTTTACAATCTAGAAGATGAATATTACATAATTATAAATGCAATGGATGTTATTAAAGGGACCTAATCAACGGTTGGCAGGCATATAAAGTCTCAGTTTTGTAATTCTATGTTCTTGTAGGGACAACAGCCTTATAACAAGGATACTTTAAGATTTTGTAAATTAAACCCCCAAATAACAAATTATTGAATTGAGCAATAGAGGTATATAGGTGAGGTGTTGTGGGGGTCTGTAGCAACCAAGTTTTCATAGAGAACATTTTTTAATAATATTAACAAATTTGTTAATTTGGGGTTACTATTTATACATCTTCAGCACACTATAAACTACAAATACCCGTAGGCTTAAATTGGATAACGTTAGGGCATGGTATCAATAATTGTCTGTGGGTGATGACATGATTATATGTCAGGAGAATACACAACTTGCAATCACACATTTCATACCAAAGACCCAGGCCAATCCAATATTTACAAAAAAATAGCTGTCAGCCTTAGGTCCTACATAAGTTAACGAATGATTATAAAAAAACAATAGAGTCATAAGCAGTCTCCTAGTCATTGCTCTTCTCTGTTGCCTTCAAAGTGTGTGTGTGTGTATGTGTGTGTGTGTGTGCATGTACACAAATACACTCAATTGGCCCTATACGTGGTCTCAAGCAGAATGGAGTTACAGCTTCCCCTCCCTTCACACGGACTGCCTACCACAAAACCCTGTTGAGCATTCAGAATAAATGTAATGTTCCAAGGGGGAATAACCCATCAAGTGCTATGACACCGCTCTCACTTAACTTACGGTCATTTCAAGTAGCTGAGATGATTTACATCAGCACCTAAGTCAGCTACAGCTTTAATGAAATGCTTAATCGGCTCACTCAAAGTACACCAATTTTTCAATCAAATCTGACAGCTTTCAAGGACACAGTCCTGCCCTAAAAGCAGACCAGAAAAGTCTCCAGAATTCCAGGCAAATGGGTCTAGTTGTTAGGGCAGGCAGCCACTGTTTGTCTTTTTTGTCCTGGACAAGCAGGGAAGGGAAGCTTACCCCAAAGGCCTGCGTGCTTTGGGGGTAGCTTTAACTCCCATCCCTCGAATTCCTCAATCATGATTGGAGAAAGCAAGCACACAAAGCAGGCTGGCCATTTCCAGAAGCTTTTAGCTTTCGCAGGCCTCTAGATCATGAGAGGAAAGAACAGGGGAGCGAGGAGGAGGCAGAAGCCCACATATATACCGCTAATTTCACGTATCTTCCTGAGAACAGGGGGGATGGGGAAGGTACGTGCCAGTGTGGGGGTGTGGGTGAGAGGTTTAATATAGAGCTGTGGTCAATTAACAGGAAAAAAACTTTCAGAGCTCACTTCTTACATTGAAATCAATAATGAAAAATCAGCATAGCCAGATTTAATAGATAAATGGGCTGAAAAGCACAGAGCAAGTGTGTCCTCAGAGAATTAGGCTGCACGTGAGTATTGAATGGCCAAACAGATTCTAAAATGCATCTAGACCATTGGTTCTCAACCCCAGCTCCTTATTAGAATCACACACAGGAAGCTTTTAAGAAATACTGATCTCTGGACCTCACCCCCAGAGGTTCAAATTCAATTTGTCTGGGTGGGGCTTATGCAGGACATTTTCATGAAACTCCCTGGGTGATTCTAAGTACAGTCAGGGTGAAGGACCACTGATCATGTCATTACAACATTAATCTCCACTGAAGAAAAATCTTACTTCTAGGTCAGCAAAAAGCTCTCCAGTTACAATTGCTTACATAGAGCTAATGATGGTGGTGGTGAGAAGGGGTAGAATAACTGAACTGTTACTCTTGTTTATGCATATTAATGAGAACAGACATAACGAGGATAAAGTAAATCCATAGGTAATGCAGAAACTTGGCTTGATCAAAGGGCTCAAGCTGTCCTTCAAGTGGGGACAGAAAATCCTTAGAGTCTTGAAAATGGAATAAACCTGAGAAACTAGCCCAAACAACCCCCGCCCCCAGATGGAAAGGGAAGGGGCTGACATTGAAGACACGCTTGTCATGCTGTCATACGTGTCTCCGTTAATGCTCTCGATAGACTGTCAAGCCACTGTTATTATCTTCATTTTTAAAGATGGGGAGAGTGGGCCTCAGGGTGGTTAAGTGATTTTTCCCAACCCACAAAGCTAGGAAAAAGCAGAAAGAGGAATGAAGCCCCAGGTTTTCCATTTTCAGGAATGTTGTCCACAGCATCTCAGACGCATGGTCATTTACGCTCTCCTGGGCCTTCCAGTGTCCGTGAGCTCACTCTAATGGAGAAGTCCTTTCTGTTGGGCAGGCTGGGTTTTCACAAAAGCTATCCTTTTTCTGAGTCACAAACTGTTTCTCCATAAACCTTTCTCATTGATCCTCATTTTCTTCCTAGAGTAAGAAGAGCAATTTAGCCCTTCTTTTAAAGGAAAATCCCTTCAAATGTTTAAGGATAGCCATTATGTCTCCTCTGGGATTTATTTTCTCCAGCCTCACATCCTCAGCCCTTTGTAGTAGTTTCACATGATTTCAGAATCCTATAAATTTTATTGCCCTCCTCTGGTACTCTTGGGGGTGTGCCTTTAAAATATGCCTTTAACCCTAGCCAGTTTAGCTCAGTAGACAGAACGACGGCCCTTGGACTGAAAGGTCCAAGGTTTGATTCTGGTCAAGGGCACCTACCTCGGTTGCAGACTAGATCCAGGCCCTGGTTGGGGCGCTAGCGGGAGGCAACCAATCGATGTTTCTCTGTCTCTGCCCTTCCACCCTTTCTAAAAACCAGTGGAAAAATATCCTTGGGTGAGGATTAAGAAAAATAAATAAATAAACTGTGCCTTTAAAATGTGGTGCTCAGAGCCAAGCGTGACACTCACACGGGCTTGACATTCAGACTTAGCGAGTGGTTGAGAGCAGAGGCTCTGGTGGCATTCAGACCAGAGTTTGATTCCCACCCTTCCTCACCACTCAGCTGAGCATACTTACACAAGTGCTGAAAGCTCTCTGAGCCTCTTTCCTGGTCTGTAAAATGGAAATGACAATGCCTATATCACAGGGCTATCCTCAGAGTTCCTGTAAGCACTAATAGAGAGTACACTGTAAAAATTCAATAAATGATAGCTAATTTTTCTTCTTTTATCTTGACACTGCATGACTACTAAACAGTTTAATATTGTGGTAATATTTTTAGAAGCCACAGAAAATCACGGTCTCATGTTAACATCAGATAAAAAATCTCTAAACATTTACCCCCAAACTGAAATCAGAATATCTCTCTCACATGCTCTAATTGCATAATTTTTAAAAAGCCTAAATGGAAGACTGTATTTTTATCTCTGTTTAATTTCAACTCTTTCTTGCTTTCTTTTCAGCTCAGTTTTGTTCCATTCTGTGTGCGGTATTACTTTGAATGTTCATTCTATTAGTTTTAGTGTAAACTGTGTACTTTTTTACAAATTTATGATTGGCTTCTATACACATCCCTGATTTAAAGCCAAAGACAGGGCAGGGTTAAGTTTCAAGTCCTCAAACATACCACCAGAGATATCTGCGGGCATCATATTACTCAGTTAATCAGTATAGCTTGTGTATCATAGCTCGACTAGTCATGAATCTATCTAACTATATCTCAAATGAGACACATTTCTGGGTCCTGACCACAATTATACCATAAGGAACTGCCAAATTACTTATTTATTTTTGCCTTGCCAGGTAGTGTTTCTTTTTTTCATACAAGCTTTTCAAGCTTGCAAATAATTGAATTTCCAGGGTGGTGGTGAGAAGTATTTTTTTACTTACTTTTCAAGTAAATATTTTCCATCATTAACTTGTTCTAAAGGATTCTGCAATCTTTTCATTTCTTCCTGTGGGAGGGAAAAAAAGAAGTGTTTTATAAATTGACCCATGTACTTATGAGCAATGATATTTGAAGACAATTATTAGTAAAAATGAGATAACACACCATTAGATGTTCTGGACTTTGCAATGGATAAGTGCTTAAACTTACAAAACAATTTCCTCTTTGATCCAATTACAATACGACACTGCCAGTCAAATCATATGATTTTTTCCATCATTAAAGGTAATGCTTCCTGTCATTTTCCTAGAGGGAGGACATGTTTATATGGATCCATCCATTCAAGTTGCTCTGCCATCTGTACTATGTTTGCTGGTTGCTGGGGGAGGGGCTCTGATGAAGATGAGCTGGGTTTGGCCGGTCAGTAACCATCTTCTCTTGTCTCTTGAGAGCTCTCAGCAGCCTCTTCTGTTAGCCCCAGTGCTCAGGCACAGGCACACACACAAACACAAGCCCACATCCCTTCCTGACTTTCAGGCATCCCAGTCTTTGTAGTCCCATTTTCCTGGCCACAGTGATTGGTTCAGGGATGTGACGGGAGTCAGCCCAGGTTCCTGGTGAGACTACCTGTCCAAGGGCATTTAAAGAAGGCCCACGGGACTCAGTTTTTAGAGGTCATACTCTCTGACTCATCACCACAAACTGCTGAGGTGCCAAGAGAAAGCCCCAATTAGGATTAAATGCTCATGTGCCCCTAAAAGGCCCTCAAAGCTAGTCTCAACGTGCTTCTACCACCAGACATGCAAGGCTGCTAGGTCATCCCTCATTACCCAATCTCTTTAACTTCCTAACTTCTCTATCTCCTCAATTTCTTTGAACATTCCCTGGAGTATCTTGTTCTAACTGAACCCTGCCTTGATGTTCTGAGAACAGCTAACTTTTTGTTAGAGCAAGAAGATCAAAGAACTGTTTAGAAAAAGGCTTCTAGGATCTAAAGGATTTGCTGATGACAAACTTGGCTGAGTCCCCGATCACACTTATCCCCTGAAGTCCTCTTAAGAAGTGGCCATTTCTTCCCCACCTGCTATACCGTACACAGTCCACAGGAGGGATAGAACCCTTCTTGCTCCTCATTGCTGCTCCTAGAAACTCCTCATGCCTACAACATCTTAGCTCCTCTGGAAAATCTCAGCCTGTCCCAAGCTTCTGTCCTCTTCTCTTCCCTACCTATCCTCTCTCCTCAGGAGGTCTTCACCAGTCCTATAACTTTAAATTTATATCTGCACCCGAGCTGCCCTTAAACTCCGCCCTTATACTCCCACTTGCCTACTTGACAGTTCCATGTTCATTTCTGATAGACATGTCAAGTTCAAAACCAAAGTCTTGATTTCCCCACCTATACCTTCACCCGAACCTCCATTGTCACTACTTCTATCTCATCTTAGTAAACGGTATCACTATTCACTTAGATGCCAGAGCCAATACCCAGGAGTCAGCTTTTATTATTTTCTTTCTCTCACAATACAGTCATTCAATCAGCTAATTTTGTTGGGCCCCGATTAGAAATATATCCAGAACTTGACCACCACCTCTCAGCGTGGTCTAAACCAACTGTGCCAGACTCCTGTCTCCCTGCTCGGATGTCAGCCCACTTCAGTCACTTCTCCTATATCAGCCAGCATGTTCTCTTAGTATCGGGGCTTTCTTTTGTAAGGGTGTGAAATGCATATATCACAAGTCTACAGTACAATAAGTTTTGACAAAGGAATACATTGGTAGAACCACCACCCAGAACAAAATATAGAACATTTCTCTCACTCCAGAAAGTTCCTCTGTGTCCCTGTATAGTCAAGTTCCCTCTCCTAAAAGCACCCCTGTTTTGATTTCTATCACAGTAGATTAATTTCTCTGTTCTAGAAAATCATATTAAATTATCTATTCTTTTGTATCCAGCTTAATTTACTCAACATTATATTTTGACATCGGTTTCTTAACTGATGCTAATTGTTTAAACTTCACTTCAGTATTTGGAGAAGACTTTTGTTTCCTTCCTCTGATTTTAAAAGCATAGGATTTGAAATGTGAGGAACCCAGGACCTGCAATAGAAGTGTTTGCTGTTGTGAAAAAGGCTAACCAGAAGGAAAAGATAACAGAGCAAAGAGGATGGAGGTCAAGGAAAACAGCCAAGGAGTCAGAGCCCTAGTGATGCTGCAAACTTTAGGGTCAAACTGTGGCTTGAAACTAGGATATTGAGAGATTTTTCAGTTTCATGTGCCAATAGATTCTCTCATTTTATTTTTTTAATCCTCACCTGAGGATATTTTTTCCATTGACTTTTTTAGAGAGAGTTGAAGCGAGGGAGAGGAGGAGAAAGGGAAGAAAGAGAGAGAGATCGACATGAGAGAGACACATCGATTGGTTGCCTCCCACTCGAGCCCCAACCAGGGCCAAGGATTGAACCTGCAATTGAGGTATGTGCCCTTGACCAGGAATCAAACCCCTTGATGCTTTGGTCCAGGCCAACTCTCTAACCACTGAGCAACCCAGCCAGGTGACTCTTAATTTTTCAAGGCACTCTTGGTTGCTATTTCTCTGTGTGTATTTTCTTGTTGGTTTGTTTGTTCACAATTGAAAGAATCCTAACTCAGAAGTGACAGTCTGAACTATAACCTAAGAGTGCTACATATAAAATCCTACCTTGATGAGCCATAGAACTATAAAAATTTAGAGCTGGACAGGTGCTGTTGTTTTGTTTTGTTTCATTTTATTTTGGCGTCGTCTTAAATTTTTTTTTTTTATTCAGAAGACTAATGGATAAAGCAGGTTATGGTCTTCAGTTCCTTTTTGTTAAAGGCTGCTGCTTTTATATCCAACATTGGTATAACAAAGCTCGAGTGAAAAACATTTCTGCATCTTCTGCAAAATTGCTGTATAAAGCACTGTATTTTTTGCTACAGGTTTTCTTTTATGTAAATGAATAAGATTTTAGGATTTAGTGCTAGGGGATATTTTCTCATTTTGATATAATAGTGCACTTCTTTTCACCAACAATAACTACTTATGTCTTATAGCGGTTGTTTAATTTGCCTTGGTTGCCAGAAGCTTAAGCTAAATTAAATATTCAATTGCCAGAACTATTTTTTCCAGGCTGTTAGTACAATTATCCCCTCCCCTTCACTACATGATGTGCAAACTTCTTTGTTTTTATTTTAATCCTCCTACATGTATGCTTTTCAAAGTACAGGCAAGTACTACATAGGCAGAATATAAATGATAAATGGACAGGAAGATAGAGATGACATATAGATAGGTAGACAGATAGATGGATAGTTAGATAGATAGGCAGATAGATAGATAGATAGATAGATAGATAGATAGATAGATAGATAGATAGATAGATAGAAAGATAGATATGCAGATAGATAGATAGATAGATAGATAGATAGATAGGTAGATAGATAGATAGATAGATAGATAGATATCTAGTCAGATAGATTGATAGATGATAGATAGATAGATAGATAGATAATACCTAAAGATAGAGCATTCTTTAAATAGTATACATGACTTTCTATTTTCAAGGTAAAACTTTTCATCACTATATATGCTGGATCCTTATTCTAAGAATAAGTCTCCACATCTACCCTCTGTTTGTCCCAACTCTCCATCCCTCTTACCTAATCCTTCATCATAGCCCATCCCACCACCAGTGACATAAGCAATAAATCCAGGTCAGATAAAAGGTCACGCTTAAAGTCACTTTCCCGAAAGGAAACAGACTGGACAAGAAGCCTTAGTTGTTCTTGAAAAACAGAGGAGGATTTTTTAGGTCATAAACATTCTCTTATTTACCCCCTCCATTATGATTAGGAAAGAGATGAGGTGTTGGTAGTCTCAGCACTTTCTTCTCTAAGATGTGCCTGTGGTGTGCTTTCATCTTTCCTTTTTCCCTGGAGATTTGGGGGGCAGGAATGAAAGGGCTTTTGCACTCTGCCCACCACTCTCTTTTCCTTGGTTCTTGCATTGCGGGGAGCTTGCCCAGGTGGGGAGGGCTTTGAAGTGGTACTTTTTTCAATCTGACTATCCATGCTCTAGGAAATCATATTAAACATAAGGTCAATGACTAACAAGAGCTTTCTGAACAGCTGCTCTGCTGACAATTTGGAGGATGGATTTCATCATTTGGTTATTTAAGCTAACTATACAAAAACACTTCAATTCAATTGGCCCGGAAGTTCCAAACCATGTCCTCATTTTCTCGGAGATGGATAAGGAAGAGGCTTGTTCAACAGATTTTCGCTTGGAGTTTCACTCTTTGGGATAGTTTTGTTTTAATTTGGCATTAAAAATATACAAATTGGTCTTTCCTCTCATTGGTTTCTCCCGCTCGTCCTCTTTGTCTCTGATTTTATATCTAACAATGCCATTTCCCTACTAGAAACCAACATCGCCCCCGGTGCTTTCAGATGGTTTCCAGGGTCTCTGCCAAGGTCTGATGCACCCGGGCTCAGGCTGTCTCTGCCGGCTGCACCGCCAAGCCCTGCCCCATACACTCCCTCTCCAAGTCCGGTCATTTGAAACTTCACCCAGTCCCAGAACTCACATGCTTTCTTATTGGACATTCGAGGACAATGCGTCCCCACCCTTCTATTGGCCGCTCCCATTCTCCCTTTAGGAAGCCTCCAACTTTCCCTTCCTCCATACAGGTTTTCAGAACTCAACAGGAGGGTTGGGCACCCACCCTGCTTCCTCAGCAACCTGTGCTGATCCTTATTAGCACTATCTCTTTATCTGACTCCCCGCCTTCCCTGCCCCACCCAGCTAAGTTCCTTGAAGTCAGGGATGGTGACTTACCTTAAGGTCCCTAATTTCCAGATGAAGCCTAATAAATATCTGTTGAATAAATGAGTTGAATGCATTGATATGACTGGAATGAAACGAAACCTTAGTAGCTGAATGCCCCTCTCCAAAATCCCAAGAAATTGTATGTCCTCTGCTGATTCTTTTCTGCCCCTCTATTTCAACTTTTTAAAATCACTCTGAGGTCTTCTTTTTTATTTAACACT